ATGGATGTTTGTGGTGGAAGGTGCTCCTGGTTCATCACTGGGACCTGGTTGGCAAGGATCTGTTTTTAGAGGGTTTATTTTAAAAAAAAAAAATTAAAAAAAAATTAATTTAACTTTACTCTTGACACCAGAACAAAGAGTGAAAAAAGCCATTCTTGAAAATTGGGGACAAATCCATCCAGGGCTGCCTCAGTCCTGTGCTCCTCCCCCTCTGGAAGTGCCCACAGGCACAGATCTGCAGAACAGCTTGGCTTGGTTTCACCTCATGTGTCAAATTTCTTCAAGAAATCCTAAAAAAAAAAAAAAAAAAAAAAAAAAAAAAAAAAAAAAAAAAAAAAAAAAAAAAAAGCTTTTCTCTGTCCCCATTGAAAGGCATCCAAATCTTGGTGTGAATTTTCCCAGGGTGAGATGGAACCAGCAGCACAGGGAAGCCACACACAGGGAGGGGGTTTGGGTTCTGCTTTGTCCTTCAGGTGTTGTTTTCTTCTTTATTTTTATGTGCATTGGGGGAGGAAAAAAAAAAAAAATCTGTTTTGAATTTAAAATAAACTCCCCATTTCCCCAGGGACAACACTCCCAAGGCTCACCAGCCAAAATGGGCAACAGTGGGGAAAGCTCCCCCTTTCCATTGGATGGAATTTGGAATTCCAAACACAAAATGTGTCACCTCTGCTCCCTCCCTGGGCTCACAAACCTGTCAGGACCCACCTGGCAGCTGCTGCTGAACGAACCCACAATGGCAACAGTGCCACTGAGCCATCAGGGGTGGCAGAATTGCCCTGGGTAAGGGGGTGGCTCATGGAAAGGTCCCACTCTGGATGTCCCTGGCTGCTCCTGTGGCCTCCCTGCTCAGGTTTTTAGGTTTTTGCCCATCCTGGCTGGTGCTGCCAGTCCTTACCTGTGCTCAGTGATGTGTGCTGAAGTGGCTGTTCCTAAAAATAAAAACGAAAAATAAAAATTCCTCTCTGGACATGGCAGTGAGCTCCAGCTCAGGCTCATTCCTCACTCACACCCAGCATGGCAATCTCCCCCCTGTTTGCTCCTCTTTGCTTTTCCTCCTGACAGGAGTTGGGGGGAATTTGGGATTTCTCCCAGGGAACAGGGACAGGAGGAGAGGCTCAGGGTGGACAGGGAAAGGCTGGGCAGGGGTTGGAAGTGCCCAGAGCCACAAGGTCCCCCCTGAGCCTCCTTTTCCCCAGCCTGAGCCCCTTCCCAGCTCCCTCAGCCCCTCCTGAGGACCCAGGACTGGACACCCCTGAGGTCCCTGAGCAGTGCCAGCACAGGGGACAGTCCCTGTCCCCCCTCTCACACAAATCCTGCCCTGTTCAGCTTCATCCATTCCCAATTCTGATTTATTTGCAGCCCAGGAGCCCCCACCTGGTCCTGGCCCCTTTCCTGGAGGATTCCCAGCTCCCTGTGGAGCTGCTGATGGCATCAGAGCCACCCAAATGTGAGAAATGGAAACCAAGGGGCACCTGCATGGTGAGCAGAGTGCAGCCCCTGCTCCAAAAACACTTTTTTGGCAAACTCTGCTCCTCCAGGGCTGCCTGTTCTAGCAAAGGACACTTCAGGCTGGACACTGGGGATGTGTCACTGAAAACCTGCAGAGCTGAGGGGTGAATGATGCTCAAAATGGTTTTGATTTCACCTCACCTGCTCCTCCTGTCCCCTCCTGGCATCCAGAGCTCTGGGAATAACCAGCAGTACTGTATTAGCTCCATAAATGCTGTTTTTGCATTTCCAAATTCCTCCCACTTCAGGGATTACCAACTGATATCTTCAGCCTAGAGCTCATCTCAGCCCAACTTTGTGGCTTCCAGGGTGCAATTCTGGCTCTGCTCAGCAGCAGGAGGGACAAGCAGAAGGTTTTTAAGGCATTTCTTTGTGTCAGCCTGACTGAATAAAGAGCACAGAACCAACCAGTGGGGCCCAGATCGAGTCCCCCTCATTCCAGCACAGAGGAAAAGCTGAAGCCAAGGAGAGCATTTCCCTTCTGTACCTTTCCCAGTTTAGGATCCCCTTTTTCTCCACCTTTGAGTTCCTGAATCATCTCTGAGCACTCCCAGGCCAAAATGCAAGAAATCTCTTGGTTTCTTGTAATGCATAAAAACACAGCAAAGCTTTTATTTCTTTCAGTTTTTGTAGAAATGCTCCTGAATAAATCCCCAGTCTGTGTGAACACCCAGGGGCTGTGAGGAGTGAAGGGAGCTCTCAGGTGATGGGCACAGCTTTTTGTCCTGTCACACCTTGGGGTTAAGCTGGAATCGTTTAACTGGGAACTAAAAGTGCAAATCCTGGGCCAGGGGAGGCTGCAGCTGCTCCTCACACCCACAAGAGCCTGGAGAGAGAGCAGGGACAACATTCCTGTGTCCATCAGCTCCTTCTCGAACAAAAACACTTCCAAAATCCTTTCCTTGCACTGATTTTGCCTTTTTTCCTAAAGGAGAGGCAAAAGCAACCCCCAGTGAGGACGAGGCTGTGCCCAAACACACTCTGGCCTTTCTCTGTTTACCTTCTGTATTATTTAGATGACATTTCCCAGGCACCTGAGCCTGGCCCAGCTGGGATCTCTGCATCCTTTTCCAGGAGGAGCTGTGGGAAAAGCAGAGCCAAAGTCAGGTCAGGCTCATTCCCAGCCAGGGGGGGGGGATCAGGACCTGCCTTTTCCAGCTGGGAGTGCTCAGTTCTCCTCAGTGACTGCAAGAGGAGCACAGAGAGACACAAATTTCACTTACCCAGGGCAGAAATTCCTGCTGGGATTCCATTTCCAAAGCCCCATCCAGGAGGGAAGAAGGGCACAGTGATGCAATCAGAATTTCCTTGATCATTTCCTTACCTTGCAGGTCAAATGTTTGCCAGGCTGCCTTTGAAGTCCAGCAAAGCTTCCTCTGATACCCAGATGCAAACATCTGGTTTTTTAGGGGGCTGTGAATGGATCCCAGTTTGTCCCAGAGGAGCAGAGCAGAGCTGGAATTCCCTGTGCTGCAGGAGGAGCAGGGAAAGGAAAGCTCCAAGGAAAGCTGAACTGGACAGGGAAACCCTCCCTTGCCACGGGGATTGAATAAAAATACCCAAAACAGCCACAAAATGGAGACAGGAGGAAGCTCAGACTCAAAAAAAACAAAAAAAAAAAATCAAATCCCTGGCAAATCCCAGCCCCTCCCTCCCCCCTGAGCTCTCAGGAGATTCAGGCACTGGTGGAAAATGGGTGTCACATTTCAGAGGTCAAAATGACTGCGAGGTTCAATTTCCAGAAATACTGAATATAAACAAAACACTTTATTTGTGTAAATACTTCTGCAAAAGGCTGGAGTTGAGGAGATAGCAGTTGGAAACGTGGTGCAATAATCCAGAAATTCAGTAACATCTTCTGGACTAAAATGGTCAAATGTGACACAATCAATGACTCAGAGGACTTGAAACACTCCTAGAAAGGGTCACAATTGTTTTGGCTGAGTATCATTGAATACATTATTTATGGTTAATTAAATATGAGAGTTCTAATAAATCATTGAGTGTGATCCTGCATTACAGCAAATGTTGTAACATTCACATTCTCTGGGGTTTTAGTGCTCCCCCCTCTCCAGTCAGCACAGAGTTGAGGAAATGCTCCCAATTAAGCACCATCCTCTTCCTCTCACCCCAAATATTTCTAATTTCACATTATCCCAAGAATTCCCCCAGAGAGGCTGAGAAAAGCAACACTGGCTTTGCTGTGTGGGGCAGCTTCACTTCGATTTTACACAGCTAAAAATCCTAGAAATCCCCATTAGCCACATTTACCCCCAAATTCAGAGAATCACCATCAGCATGATGAACAAAATTGGATAAAATTGTCTAAACTGCAGAGCTTTTACCTCAGGAAGTGTCATTTTCTAGGCTGGTAACACCAATTTTTAAAGAAGCATGGATGAGAGCTGGGAATTGGCTTTTGCCAGACCTGTGAGTGCCACACAAAAATAGGAATTTCCCACCTGCACTGGCAGCAAATCCCCACCCGTGGGCACTGGGAGCACATTTCAATGCACAGCACACACATTTTTTTTTTTTTTTTTTGGTGGGGGGGCAAACAGCAGCAGATTTTAGTGCCCATATGGAAAATGTGCATGGAGGAGAGAGCAGAGCTCCCCGTGCTCCTCCTGGCATTTCCACATCCCCTGTCCTGCCTTGAAGGGCAAGTTCAGCTCCCAGGCAGCTGCAATGGGCACATTTGTGTTCCAAACAACAACAATCAGCAATTTGATTTCCATTAGCACAGAGCCAAAACACAGCATGAAAATGAAATTTTAAAAGTACAAAATGCTTGAGAACATTCTGTTTGCAAGGTGCTAAACACGGGGGATTCCCTACCCCCCCAAAAAAAATGGGATGAATACTTTTAGAAACTATCACAGATCACCAAATTCTCTTCTTTAGTTTTTTTTTTTATTATTATTATTATTATTTTCTGCTTCTGGCCTTCTTTGCAACAGCTGGAGAATATTCTGACCCTTCCAAAAATGCACACAAGACACCAAGATTGTGCTCAACAGGTTTACTCAGACTGGACTCTTATAATGCTCAAGAAAAAGGCACAGATTAAAAGAGACTCTGATGACTCTTTTGAACACAGCAAATGGAATCGTTGTTTATAAGGAAAAAAGAAAATACTGCTATGAATTGTATGGGCTGAAAAGTTCAAATCTTCTTCCCCTTTCCTAATTATTGGCCTTCATTAAAATGGAACTTAAATTAAATTGTATAAACATATGAAATAAAGTCTCAGTATTAGGAAGTTTTTGTGGGTTTTTTTTTTTGTTTGTTTGTTTGTTTGTTTCTTCTATGTACAACTCTTAGTATACAATTTGTACTTTTCCATTTTACATTTAACTACATCCTCCTGGCAACAGGGAGAGCCTTGGTGGGAAATGCTTTGCATTTGGAGAAGGGGGGGGGAAAAAAAAATTAAAATAAAAAATAAAATTTAAAAAAAAAAAAAAAAAAAATCCTGCTTTTTCTTGGCCAGCAGTGCCAGGGGGAAGGGAAGGAAGGATTGAGGACAGGTTGGGGACAAATCTCAGATGTAATCATCCTCCACAGGCTCCCCATTGACATCACAGTAGTGGATGAAGATGGCCACGACCCTCTGGAACACCCCTCTCCTGACCTGGCGAAGCTCTGAGATCTCCTCACCAATGGTTTCCATGCAGATGTCAGCTGAGAGCTGCCCCTTCCTCCTGGGGGCATAGATGGTGGCTGGGGAAAGAGAAAAAAAACAAAAAAAAAACCAAAAAAAAAAGTCATTTTTGAGTAAATCTTATAAGGTTTAATCAAAGATAATAAGAGAGAAATAATAAAGCAAAGGTTATAGAGCATGGTGTTTATTGTAACTCTGAGAATATTTCTTTAAAGGCATCAATTTGTTGCATATTTCTAGATTTTCATGCATCATTATCCCCCTCCAGCCTGTAAATCAATATGTCAGTGCTCCCTGATAATGGAAAATCAGTAAATTCTTCCCCTGAGGTTCTGATGTGTCACCAAGAATCCAAAAATGAGAAAAATTCCCTGATTATCATTTTTTTTTTAACCATTCTCTGAGTTAGTTACATGAACAAAAGCTTTTTTACATCACCATGTTATAGCCTAAAAAATAAAAATATTTATCACACTCCTATTTCTAAGTTTTGTTAACAGCAGAACTAAAAGAAACTCTTATTAATTCAGCAAAGTTTTCCAACATTACACCTGCAGCATTCATTTGAATATTTACAAAAAGCCAATAATATCATATGTAATTATAACTAGGGGATATTTCTCCCAAAAATATTCCCCAGCCAGGTTGGTTTTGCATTCAGGCTTGGCCAAAGAGAAAAAGAATTTTGTTTAAGGAATTTTCTCCCCCTGTTTTCCTCAAATCTTCCCACAGCTCCATTCCTCAAATCCAAAAATCTGGGAGGGAAATGAATCCCAGAGCATCAGAAACTCTCCCTGAGGCCTCTCTGAGATCATTCCAGATTATTTATTACTTAAATTTTTTATAAACAACAGGAATTAAAGATAAAGCAGCAGCATTCTGCTTCATTTTCATGGCTTTAATATCCTGACTCTTAAATACTTATTTTGGTAATTCAGCCTTCATACTGAACTACAAGCATCAAGTCAAGTTAAAATAAAATTAAATTACATGAGTCCAAAATAAAATTTTAAAAAGANATACTTATTTTGGTAATTCAGCCTTCATACTGAACTACAAGCATCAAGTCAAGTTAAAATAAAATTAAATTACATGAGTCCAAAATAAAATTTTAAAAAGAAATTAAAAAATAAAACCAGAGAAAGGCATAGCAAAAAAAAAAAAAATTTCTTCCTCATCCTCTTGAGATTTCTAAACTGGAGCTGGATAAGAATATCCAAACCAGGATTAATTAAAAATGCCTCTAATGAAGATTCCAGGATGTTCCTAATTAAATAAAGCAAGAACATGTTCTTCTCTGGTGCCAAGCAATGTTTTTAATTGAGCCCCATTC